GTCCGGTGACCTCCTGTACGGTGGTCTGAACTGTTTTCTCGATGACCGCGGCGGTCTTGGCCAAGGCTTGGGTGAGGGTTTTCATATTCAGCGCCATTTTTTTCTTCCTCTGGACTGTAGAAGTTGACCGAACAAAAATCTGGAAGAATTACGAATGTAGATGATGAATTTGGTCTGTGATTCGAAGGAAATGAAGGAGAAGGAGGGAGAAATTTGGAGGTTTGGATCAAAGCAAGAGTGCTTGGGTTTCTTCCATTTCTCTGTCTCTCGCTCTCTATCCGGTCTCAGTCTCTTCGTTCTTTGGTTTCCTTAATTATTCTGCCTTACTTCATTCGATTTGCTGTTTAGAGTTGGAAGCTACAAATTTTACTTTCTTTAAATACTGTTTTACTCTTAACTTTTACATTAAATTACAAATTTTGTCCAATTGTCTTATTTACTCCCTAACTTTATAAAAAATTTTAGGAAAAATATTTTTCGTCTTCATGTATGAGGTAAGTATCTATTTGGTTCCTAAAATTTTAAAATTGACACTTTTTGGGTTAAAGTTGGAAAAATTGTTCTAAATGCTTCAGGATCTTATTTGATTAGTTAACTAATGTTAACATGATGCGACAATTAAATGGGTGTTCGTATTAGCTTATTTGGAAAATATATTGATTTAATAATATATGTGTGGATTATTAAGAATACTTTCTCTCTCCTCTCTTCTCTTCCTCTCTCATTCTTATCTTTTCCCTCTTTCCAGCACACTTTGCCACCCCTCGCCGTATTGTCATCATCACCCACCATCTTCGACCGGTCGCCCCTCTCCCAGATTTAGAAGATAAACGTTCCTCTTCCACGTCTGGAAGAAGAAGAAACAAAGAGCTCTTCGTTTCGTTTGGTGGAATAAGAGGTTTCTATTTCAGATCTAGCAGAGGAAGAGGCGGTGGCGGCAAAGACGGCGGGTGACAGCGGAAGCAAAGAGGTGGTGACGGTGGCAAAGTGTGCTAGAGAAGAGGAAGAAAAGAGGATGAAAGAGGAAGATAAGAGAGAGAGGAGAAAGAAAGTCTGAGAATCATCTATTTAACCGTCACATCATTCTAATGTTAAGTCATTTAACGATCAAAGAAGTTCAGGGACCATTTAAAACCATTTCTCAAACTTTAGGGACCAAAAGTGTTCATTTTGAAACTTCATATATCAAATAGACATAGTTCAAACCTCATGGACCAAAGTATATTTTCTCCAAGATTTTATTTCATTCCTATCCCATAATTGGTAAACTAAAAAAAAACTAAATTGTAATGTATCTATTAGTCAATTTTAGAAGAAGAAAAATATTATTGTTTTTCTTACTTAAAAAAATAAAACCCTAGGCCTTTTAAATAAAGGTGAGGAGAAACTTTCCTTAACAAGGAAACTAAAACATAAACTTCTAATTACATAAAATATAGGAAACTATGAATTCCTATATAAAAAAGGAAAGACGAGATATTACAATAATTATCTAAAATATATAAAACCAACACTCCCCCTCAAGCTGGTTTGAAGATGTCTTCCATTGCCAGCTTGTCAATTAACTTGTCGAATTGCATTTTCGGAAGACCTTTAGTTAATACATCAACGATTTGTTCTATAGTTGGCAAGTAGGTGGTACATATTACTCCTGCATTGATCTTCTCTTTTATAAAGTGTTTGTCAACTTCAATATGTTTTGTCCTCTCATGTAGAACTAGATTGTGAGCTATGGAGATGACATCCTTGTTGTCACAATAAATACGAATAGGTTCTTTCTTAGTAAACTTCAATTCCTCTAGTAGCCTTTTGATCCATATACCCTCACAAATACCATGAGCTAAAACTCTAAACTCTGCTTCAGCGCTACTTCTTGCTACTACATTTTGTTTTTTGCTTCACCGGGTAACTAAGTTACCTTCAATAAATGAACAGTAATCTGATAGAACAACTGTCTGTATCACTACCAGTCCAGTTGGCATCGTATAAACTTCAACTTGCAAATGGTCATGTTTTCTGAACAGTATACCTTTACCCGGAGTTCCTTTCAGATATCTTAGGATCCTGTAAACTGCTTGAAAATGAACTGAACCAGGTGAGTGCATGAATTGGCTCACTACACTTACATCAAAGACAATATCAGGATGTGTGTGAGACAAATAAATAAGTCTACTCACAAGTCTTTGATATTTCTCCTTATCTTTAACTTCATCATCTTTTGCAATTTGTAACTTTAAATTAGGTTCAATAGGAGTTTAAGCAATCCAGCCAAGTAAGCTTGTTTCTTTAAGTAAGTCAATGATGTATTTTCTTTTATTAACGAAGATCCCTTGTTTTGATCTAGCGAATTCCATCCCTAGGAAATATTTTAAAGTACCCAAATCTTTAATTTGGAATTTACTGACAAGCTTTTTCTTAAGAGAGTTCAATCCATCTTCATCATTGCCTGTGAGGATAATGTCATCAACATATACAATCAAAACAACCATTTTGCCATTTTCATTGTGCTTATAAAAATTAGTGTGATCTGCTTGGCTTTGAAGCAAACCCTAGCTAGTGACTGTTTTCTCAAAACGTTCAAACCATGCTCTAGGAGATTGTTTAAGGCCATAGAGAGATTTCTTCAATTTGCATACTTTGTTATCTTCAATATCCATTTCAAAACCTGGAGGTAAATCCATAAATACTTCTTCTTCTTCTAGATCTCCATTGAGAAAGACAATTTTTGACATCTAATTGGTGAAGAGGCCAATCTAAATTAACAGCAATAGATAAAAGAACTCTAATAGAGTTAATCTTAGCAACAATAACAAATGTTTCTTGATAATCTATCACATAAGTTTAAGTGAAGTCTTTGGTTACCAACCTAGCTTTGTATCTTTCAATATTACTATCAGCATTGCATTTTATAGTGAAAACCCATTTGCATCCCACTATTTTCTTTTCTTTAGGTAGATCCACAATGTCCCATGTGCAGTTCTGTTTTAAAGCATTCATCTTTTCCATAACTGTTAATTTCCAATTTGAATCATTTAGGGCCTCCTGTAGGTTCTTTGGAATAATCAAGTTATTTATTTTAAAAGTGAAGGCTTTATGACTATCTAACAGTTTTTGATATGAAAGATAATTTGCAAAAGGATATTTAGTGCAAGTACGAATACCTTTCCTAAGGGGAATAGGAACATCAAAATCAGATATATCAAGTGAGATTTTTTGAATGGATGATTGATCGGGAATATGAGATTGATTACCCGGATTTTCAATATCATTCCTTGGGGTAGTAGACTGGGGTGACAAGTCAGCTCCTTAATCTTCATTTCTTTGATTGAAACGTCTCCTAGTATAAACTTGAAGCTCGTGATTTTTATCAGTAGGGTCATTTTGTGGTGGTTTTTCTCCCCTTGGATGAAAATCTTCCACACGTGGTACTAAAGAATCAGGAATATGAGGATAAATGATATTCAGGAGAGAAGTAGAGATGCCCCAAAAATTATCTTCAGAACTTGATTCCTCCCCCTTAAGGGAATTTTTGGAAAAAAATGTTGATTTTCCCAAAAAGTTACATCCATGCTCACAAAAATTTTCTTTGTTGTAGGATCAAAACATTTATAACCTTTTTGTGTCAACGCGTAGCCTACAAAAATGCATTTGATAGCCTAGTGATCAAGTTTAGATCGAAAAAGATTTGAGATGTGAACATAAGTAGTACATCCAAAAACTTTTTTTGGTAGGTCAGAGAAAAGACGAACAGTAGTAAAGAATTATTTTAGATAATCAAGGGGAGTTTTGAAGTTTAAAACTTTAGAAGGCATATGATTTATTAAATTAGTAGGAACAACTTCTCCCCATAAATACTTTGGAACATGCATAGAAAACATAATGGCACGAGAAACTTCAAGTAAATGTCTATTTTTTCTTTCCGCAATGCCATTTTGTTGAGGGTTGTCACGGCATGTAGGTTGATGAAAAATGCCATTGCTTTTAAAGAATTCCCCCAAGTAATCATTGAAATATTCAATCTCATTATCTGAGTGAAAAATACTTACTTTGGTTTGAAATTGAGTTTTAATCATTTTACAAAAATGCATAAAAAGGTCTTTCACTTCAGATTTTTTTGTCATTAAATAAACCCAAGTTAAATGAGTGTGATCATCAATGAAAGTTACAAACCATCGTTTTCCACTATAAGTTGAAATTTTGGAAGACCCCCATACATCACTAGGAATTAAATAAAATGGTTTTGAAGCCTTATAAGGTTGAGAGCGGTATGTAGAACGATGATTTTTAGCAAAAAATGCAACTCTCACATTGAAAATTTGAACAATCAATGTCTTTGAACAATCAATATCTTTAAATAAGGTTGGAAACAACAATTTTAAGTAGAAAAAACTAGGATGTCCTAGCCTAAGATGGCAAAGCATTATTTTTTCATTAACAGCAAGAGAAATGACACTATTTAGAGCTTGTTTATTACTAGTTGGAAGTTCTTCAAAGAAGTAGAGATCATCGAGCATCCTAGCACGTCCAATCGTCTTCCCCGAGTCTTGATCCTGAAAAAGACAATGAGTTTCAAAGAAAGTGATACGACAGTTAGAATCTTTAGAGATTTTACTAGTTTTGGAACATGAGGACAGTTTTTAAGGTTATATTTTCTGTTAATGGAATAGTTACTTTTCTTGCAATGGAAGAGAAACTGTCGTCTGCTATTCGAATTTTTTCATTGCAATATGTAGGATAGTAAGACTGGAAAAGTTTTGAAGAACTAATCATATGATCAGAGGCTCCAGAATCTATAATCCATGGAGATGAATTTAGACAAGATAAGGCATGAGGATAAATACCTGATTGTGCCAAAGAACCACTAGGATTACCAGATGATGAATTAGTCTTTAGCAGCTTTAGAAGTTGATCAATTTGCTCTTTATTGAACTGGTAAGAATCAACAGTATTTGCATTGGAATAACTAGATACCTGGTTGCCACCGCTCTTCTCACCTGGTTTATTACTCTTCCAATTTGCCGGTTTTCCATGAAGCTTCCAGCAAGTTTCACGGGTATGTCGAGGTTTATTACAATAGTCACACCAAACACGAGATTTCTCATTCCCTTTATTATGATGATTTGAAGCTTTATTAGCAACTGCCTCATTCACCAATGCAGAACCTTCGATTGTGTTGTTTGTAGTTTTCTTGCCGAGCATAACATTCCTACGACTTTCTTCACGTTTTACTTCAGAAAAAACTTCATTAATGTTTGGAAGTGGTTTTCTACCAATTATTCTGCCTCTGACTTCATCAAACTCTACATTTAGACTGGCAAGAAAGGTGTAAATTCG